TGTAAGAGACCATTAATGGATGTTTACCTGATAGGCTATATCTTACTTAAGCCCATTATCCTTGGGCCTTCAAAGGATGGTTGGACACATGGATCATTTAATTGTAAATGTTGGGCCCATATTGAGCCCATATTGATGGACTCAGGGGTTCACTACATTTAGTAGTGAATTCAGTCCTTTTCATAGAGGCTGGGCCGAACCCATGTGGGCTTATGTGAGGTCATTGTTGGGGTTCCACGCCATACAAATTGAACCTAAATGGGCCAGCAACTATCTTGGGACGTGAGCCACTTGCTTAATGGGTCTAAAGCCTATGATTAATAAGATTAATCAAGCTGTCACATGACTGCTTAAGCTATCATGTGATTTGGGCGAATATGGGTTTGGATATGGGTATGGAGCACCCATTCTCATAAAAGGATAAGTCTTATCCACTTATAGAGTCTAGATCCAAATAAAGATTTGGATTAGAAACCTCCTAATTTAATTAGGAGAGGTGCTCCTTAAAACTTATAAAAGGGGAGGAGGCGAACTGTTCCAGATTATCTTCTATTTTCATATTATCTTTTGCACGAAAATTGCAGAAAAAATTCGTGCTCACCTCCTTGTTTGATCCATACTATTGGATTGCAGTTTTATTGAAAACTGCGTTGCTGAACCGGCTTCATTCAAAGCTGTGCGATCTTTAATGGAAGCTAGTTTTGGGATTCGGTTTGGGTGTGAACTACCACTTTGGGAGCTACATCTATGGATTCTGTATCAGGTATACTTCTCCCTTCCTTTTGGTTTCAAATATGATCCGGTTTCAATGCAAGAACGATCCTTTTAAAATAAAGTTTTTCTAAAACTGTGAATTCGATTCTTGAAAGGTGAAAGAAAATTTTTGAAAATTCGCCCAACCATCTAGCATGGTTTGGCCATCCATATGATGGATTATGCCTTCCTTCTTGAGTTACAACCACCATCACAGCCAAACATGGAACCACCTTGACCTCCTCGAGATGCATGTCCTCCCCCTCTATTACCACGTCCATTTCCTCTTGCTACAATAAATACTGATCTGTTAGATGGTGTGGTACTCTCTGTGGATCCCAAAGAAATCCTGCGAAGCCGTGCAAATACTTCCTCAAGTGTAGGAAGAGCAAAACCTCCCAATATCTGTACTTTAACTAGTTCATACTCTGATTTCAGCCCCACTAAGAAACTAGTTACATCTAGTTGCTTCCTCTGTTGTTGTTGAACCTTAACATTTGGAGTTAGGGGATGATAGACATTGAATTCATTTCTAAGGTTTTTCATACTGGCATAAAATACTCTTCTAGGGTTTGATTCCCTTGCTGTAGATTGAAATACTCTTGATAGAGCTGATATACTCTCATAGTATTATCTTGTTCAGAATAAAGCTTCTTGGCATATTCCCATATGTCCTTAGTTGTATCTAAGAACATAAAGTTGACACTTAACTTGGGTTCCATACTATTTCACAACCATGTGATTTGGGCATCTTCTTGTTCCTAGTCATCAAACCCCAGAGATTCAGCTGATGGTTTATCTTCCTTCACATGTTTCATTTTCTTCTTTGCCTTGATAAAAAACTTCCATTAACTTAGCCCATGGCACATAATTTTCACCATTGCGTTTAATTGAAGTCATCTGCACACCTAGATAGTCTGAGGGGATCATCACACCAGATTTCTGATCACTACCACCATCTCTAATTGCTGCCATTGTGTTCCCCAATACTATTTCTAGTGCTGAATTCTCAAACCACCAAACAAATATTGTTGTCAAGGCAATACTACAAACAGTCTCCAAATCACTTATAACAGTCTTGCAACCAGTCACAAGACAACAAGTTTTATGTAAATTAACATTTAGATCAAGAACTTGATGTAAACAACCATTTAGACAGATTTGACTACCATTTAGATAAAAAAAAACATTGATGTAAACTACCATCCAAACATATTCAGCCACTCCTTTCAGCGAAAAGATTTTTTTTCTTTTCCCACCATTACCGACAATTAATCACCATGACAACAACTCAAACAACCACACAAACCCTCTTGAAATTGCTCAATTAATCACCAACACCACCACATGACTAGGGTCGTCACTCATGGTGACACCAGTATTAAACTGATATCCTAGGGCTGTCGCCCCTTCATAACACTTGTAATAGGGATTACAACGGTCCTAAAAAAATAAAATAGTGCCGCATCCACCAAGTTGTGTACCTTAGATTTTGTAGCCTAGAGAAGGAGAAAAGAGAAGAAGGAGAGATCGTAGGTTAGAAGACTTGAAGCCGCAACCTTCTTTTCCTTTGTTTAGCGCTTTGATACCATGTTTCAGCAGTTCGAACCAGTAGAGAAGGAAGAAGAGAGAGAAGAAGAAGAAGAGGAAGAAGAAGTTATCGAACTAGAGAGTCTAAACCCTACTAGTCGACCATAATGTGTATTATATTGTAATTAGTGTACAAGGACAAAACTACCCCTAGTATGGGACAAGAGAACTACAAAAGTAATACTAGAATTGCCACATCAGCATATAACTTAAAACATAATGAAAAGACTAATCTACCCTTACTCGATCAAATCTAACATTAACAAGCGTAGAGCTGACGTGTGAGTGTAGGTGGAGCAACTCGTAATCAATATAAATATATTAAATTGAAATGTGTACATAAGAAGGCCTAAGGATGAGCGAAATGGAATCTAACAGTATTTTTTTCCTTTTTTCATAGAAATTACAAGAATGCCACTATCTACCAACTCTCTCTCTTTTGCTTTTTTTCTCTTTCAAATTACAAGAATGCCACTCTCTCCTTCCAATTCTCTCTTTCTCTCTTGTTTTTTTCTTTTAAATTACAAGAATGCCACTCTCTCTCCTACCAACTCTCTCTCTCTCTCTCTCTCTCTCTCTCTCTCTCTCTCTTTCTTACAAATTACAAGTAAGACCCGGTTTTGAAAACCAGACCAGACCGGACGATCGGACTGGAAAAATCGGGAATCGATCAGGTGACCAGTTTCGGTTTTCCCCAAAATGGGAAATTTGCCCAAAACCGTTGATTTTGGTTAGCAAACTGTTGACCCAGGAGGTTAATCGTTCAAAGCATTTTGACTATTTTCTATTTATTTATTTATTTTTTATTTTGTCATAATGAGTCGTTCATTTGGAAACGGGCCGACCGTTTGGTTTGAACGATCGAACCGTTCAACTCGGTAACCGGACCCCTGACCGGTTCCGTCTCCGGATCGGTTTTAAAAACCATGATTACAAGAATGTCATCTCTCTCTCTTGCCATCTCTCTTTCTCCTTATAAATTACAAGAATGTCACTCTCTCTCCAACTGAGGAAGACCTCAGCTCAGCATCTCGGTTGCTAGGGAACCTACAATCAAAGGTAGTCGAGTTCGAGCCGAGCCGAGCTCCAGCTTCTGAGCTTAAGCTCAAGTCTCTAATTCAAATCGAGCACGAGCTAAACGACACGTCGACCACTAAAGGAGACCTCGGTCACTGAGGGAGATCTTGGCTTAGCACCTCGACAACTGAGGGAGACCTCAGCTTGACACCTTGTCAACTAAGAGAGACCTTAGCTCGACACCTTGTCTAATAGAGAAACCTCAGTTCGACACTTCAGCAGCTGAGGAAGACCTCGATTTGGAACCTCGGTTGCTTAAGAAACCTGCAATCAAAGGTATGTAGCCAAGCTCGAACTTCTGAGCTTTAACTCGAGCTTGAGCTCAAGTCTCTAATTAGAATAGAGCTCAAACATCATAGTTTATAAGCGCCCTATCAATTCAATTCGCATACCGTACAAGGCCATCGGCCATTTCGATTTCTGAGGTCGAGTAACCGATAAAAATAAAAAAAAGTATAAAAATATAAATTAACGTGAAGGATTCGATCGATTATGATACGGGAAGGACATTATCCGACCAATCAACCGGTATCATAAACGTGATAACCAATCTGGTGGTTGATGGTTTTTAATTGGTCAGAGTCCTTTCGGTACCATGTCTTTCCTGGATCATTTTCCCCTTTTGTCTCACCCTCAGCCCCTCACTAGGCACTCTCTCACTCTCTGGCTCTTCGTCTCTCAGTCTGTTCTCTCTCTCCCCAGAGAAGCTAGCAATCTCTATGGCTCTTTTTCCGTTTCTGCTTTATTATTTCTCTAGCCCTCAATTATTGGATACTTTCAGAAGTTTTTTCTTCATACCGACATGCCTGGCTCTTCTTACTTCTCTTTTCATTCTCGTTTATGTTTCTTCAACCTCAAAGTTTTTCATTCATCAACACCATCCACATCTTATGATAAAATCACCAATCGGTTCTTCAAGAATACCTCCTACGACACACCAAATTGCACATGATTCGTCTCACAGTCCCTCTACAAGTGCTCCCGATGTGCCTTCTGAGCTTAAGCTCAAGTCTCTAATTCAAATCGAGCACGAGCTAAATGACACGTCGACCACTGAAGGAGGCCTCGGTCACTGAGGGAGATCTTGGCTCAACACCTCGACAACTAAGGGAGACCTCAGCTCGACACCTTGTCAACTAAGAGAGACCTTAGCTCGACACCTCGTCTAATAGAGAAATCTCAGCTCAACACTTCAGCAGCTGAGGAAGACCTCGATTTGGAACCTCGGTTGCTTAAGAAATCTGCAATCAAAGGTATGTAGCCAAGCTCGAACTTCTCAGCTTTAACTCGAGCTCGAGCTCAAGTCTCTAATTAGAATAGAGCCCAAACATCATAGTTTATAAGCGGCCCTATCAATTCAATTCGCATACCGTACAAGGCCATCGGCCATTTCGATTTCTGAGGTCGAGTAACCGATAAAAATAAAAAAAAAGTATAAAAATATAAATTAACGTGAAGGATTCGATCGATTATGATACGGGAAGGACATTATCCGACCAATCAACCGGTATCATAAACGTGATAACCAATCCGGTGGTTGATGGTTTTTAATTGGTCAGAGCCCTTTCGGTACCGTGTCTTTCCTGGATCATTTTCCCCTTTTGTCTCACCCTCAGCCCCTCACTAGGCACTCTCTCACTCTCTCTCTCTCTCACTCTCTGGCTCTCCGTCTCTCAGTCTGTTCTCTCTCTCTCCCCAGAGAAGCTAGCAATCTCTATGGCTCTTTTTCCGTTTCTGCTTTACTATTTATCTGGCCCTCGATTATTGGATTCTTTCAGAAGTTTTTTCTTCATACCGACATGCCTGGCTCTTCTTACTTCTCTTTTCATTCTCGTTTATGTTTCTTCAACCTCAAAGTTTTTCATTCATCAACACCATCCACATCTTATGATAAAATCACCAATCGGTTCTTCAAGAATACCTCCTACGACACACCAAATTGCACATGATTCGTCTCACAGTCCCTCTACAAGTGCTCCCGATGTGCCTCCCGAGTCGCTTGAGGCTAGTAAAATCCTGCCGCTCTGGAACTACACTCGTGAAGGAATTGAGAATCTTCGGTATATGGAAAGTCACCAGCCTATTGGTTCAAATGGTGTGTTGGTTTTTAATTTTGTTCTTATGGATATAGTTTTTTCTTTGAATTTGCTTGGAATGCAGTTTGTTGAAATGTATAATTGTCACAAACAATATAGATCTTACATTCAAATTATTGAAGACGTACTTTCTTCTGAGTTGTTTTTTTATTTTTATTTCTTCGATCCCAAGTCTCCCCTACGACTAGCAGGAAACCTTTCCAACCTGCTGGTTGGCACCTTGCGCTACTTTCTTCTGAGTTGTTAATTTAAAGTTCATTTCAGAATTCCATACTCGGTTCTTCTTCAGTTATCGTTCTTTTTTTTCAAAGCCTAAAAAGGCAAATTTCATTAAAAAAAGCTCAGATTGCTGAACCCATTTATGTTATAGGTTGAGATGCTACATTTGTGTTAGAACCCATTTATTTTTATCCCATTACATTGTAGCTTCCAGGAAATTTTCCTTAGGTTTGGCTTCATTTCTGCAAATGGATTATGTGATTATGTCTACTAAATTCTTCTTATATTTATTGGCAAAGGAAATGCGTCCTGTTATATTTGTGGAATGCCTGTTCAGTAGGATTAGATAAATTGATATGCCTTAGATAGGAATTCCATAACAAGTGAAAAGTATTATATGCTAATATATCTTAATGACTAGAATGAATCTTTTATTGATAAATGGCCATAAACAAATTGTTCTTTGGGAAAGTTGTCAATGCGAACTTCCAAAGGGTTTATTCTGTGTATGCACATTACCTCTCTGGGTGGCATGGACATCCAAATAATGAAATTTAAAGGTGCTACCAATGTGAAATCTTCCTTCTGTATTTTTTAACCAACCACTGCACTGGAAATTCTCTGTCCGTTGTAGTTACAATGGTACACTGTTGCAACAAATGGAGGAAACCTGGGATGAAATAATGTCTTTTCTGAGTGATCAATTTCTTAGCAAAACAATTGGGGAAGCTCTGACCGATGTTTTAAACAAAGAACTATTAAATTTAGACAAAGTAAGAGAAAACTTGTTTTACTCCTTTACTTATAAAGTTTTTTCTTAAGTAATTTCACATTATAGGGTACAATTTTAATAAACCATAGGGATCAATAACATGAAGGGACAAATTCCCATACATGAAGGGGCTACATGATGTGATATCTGTGATTCATATACAAGAAGTAAAATTATTTAGCAAGAGGAGTATAAGAAATGATATTCTCCCACTTATTGCAAATTTTTTTTTGATCAATTACAGAATTTCTCTTCTTTTCTTCATTCTTTCTTCATCACTTATCTTCTCTCACAAATTCTCTCTTCTCTTCTTCTCTTTTATATCTTTTTTGATTTTCCGCTGATTTCTACTTGCTATTAAAGCCTAGTTAGGCTTTCTTGGAGGTGATCCATGCAACCCTAGATCAGCTGACTGCATGAGGGAATAGAGTGCTGGTCGATTGTCTCTGGATTGCCCAGTTCTTGGATTTTTTTGGTGGGATTTATAATCAAGAGGGTGATTTTTGTTTAGGCATCAAAGTTAGGAAGAAGTAGAGTGACGGGAAGTGTCCTAGTTGGATTGGACTCTTTATTTTTGACATGGTGAAGGGCACTTAGGTTTTTCCGGACACATTAAAGGATTCTATGGAGGGTGGTTCAGTTTTTTGGTGGGATTGGAGGTAGGGGTGAGCAAGAAAAACTGGAAACCCAAAAAACCAAACCGAACCAAAAAACCGGTTCGATACTTTTAAAAAACTGAAGGTACTGGTACGGTTTCGGTTAACCAATGTAGAAAACCGGTAGTTAACTAAACCGACCGGTATACATATATTTCTATATATTTTATATATATATATTTATATTTTCTATATATTATAAATTAATAAATATGCATTATTTATATAAATATATATATTTATAATATATAATTTATTATTTATTGTTTAAAATATAATAGTTTATATATATTTCTATTTTTTATTATATATTTATATGTTTTTTACAATATATATTATAAATATAAAAAACCGAAAAACTGACGAATTGAATTCACGGTTAACCAAACCGGTCAACCAGTTAACCGATCGGCTTCGGTTCGGTTTCGGTAACTAGTTTTCTAGAAATTGGTAGGACTGGTTCGGTTTCAAAAATAGGCCACCAAACCATGAAAATCCCTAATTGGAGGGCGGCTCAGTTTTTTGGTGGGATTTAGTAATCAGGAGGGTGATTTGTGTTAGGCATCAAAATCAGGATGAACTGGAATGACGGGAAGAGTCCTAGTTGGATTGGACTCTTTATTTTTGACCTGGTGAAGGGCACTCAGGTTTTTCCAGACAGATTGGAGGATTCAATGGAGGGAAGTTCAGTTTTTGGCTTTTTTTGAGCCTCTAAGAGTGAGTGATTGGGTTTTTTCTCTCTTCTTTCCCTCCATAGGAAGGGAGAATTCTCACCATAGTAGGTTTTTGACTTCTAGAAGGGACCCTTATCTTTTTCTGTGAGATCGATCTATCTTGGAGTGTTTTTTAATTGCTTTCCTTTCTGTTTTAAGTTGGTGAGTTGATATGAAGGGGTCTAGTGTTGAGCATAAGTCAACTAGAGATCTAGAATTTTGTAAGTACCAATGACCCATTTGGGTCTGGGATTATTACAACAGTTAAATTAGATGGTACAAATTATCTAGAACGGGCACAATTAGCTAAGATGGCTATTGGTGCACTTGGAAAATTGGGGTATATTATTCATAAAAAAAAGGGGGTATATTATTGGAGAGGAGAAGAAACCTGATTCAAATCCTTCTTGGTGGTTGTAGGAGAATTACATGGTGAGGTCTTGGCTGTGTAATTCTATGTTACCGTATATTGGAAAAAAATTTTGTGGGCTAATACTACAAAGGATAAAGTGGAAACACCACATGGTTGAAGCAAATGACATTAGAAAAAATGATTGAACCAATCAATGGGGGTGACTAACATGATTCTACTACCCCAAGCAAGACATTCAAGCATGCATATACTCTTAACCTAAACAAAACCGAATTAAAAAGCTTATAAACTAGAGAGATTTCAGCATGATAGTAATTTGAAATGAGATAAAGATGGACTATGAAGACATATATTAATCAACAAAATCCTCTAGTCAATAATTTTCACATGTTTCTACTTTTAACTATGATGAAACTAACTTAAAAAAATGCATAACATCACCCTACAACAAAATAATCCAATGCTGAAAGTAGAAAACTAATTAGAGCATTAACAATATCCAATGCTGAAAGTAGAAAAGTAAGGTATGATGTTTGCTATGGAAATTCTGTTCCGTTTTGGGAGGATGTTTGGGTGGGTAATTAACCTCTAAAAGATCTCTTTCCCTCTCTCTATTCCATTTCCCTTTTTAAAAAGAAGCCTATTTCAAGGTTCCTTTCCCCTTCGGTTCTTCCTTTGGCTTTAAATTGGGATTTTGGTTTTTGTAGAGTTTTAAGGATGAAGAATAATCTCATGTCTTTGACAATGTTTTAAAAAACAACCCAGAACCAGAACCGTTCTAGCCACCGGTTTTCAGGTCGACGGTTCGAATGTGTGGTCGGAACAGATGGCCCGTTCTAACAAAATAAATAAATTAAAAAAATAAAAAAATAATTAAAATTTAGAAACAGCCAAAACCATTAAACAGGTCAATGATTCTATCACCCGGATCAACGGGTTGTTGACCGATTCAACGGTTATTGGCCAAGGACCAGGTTTGGGGTAAAACAGAACCGGTTGCCTGGATGGTTCCGAAGTTGAATGGTCCGACCGTCCCGGTCAACGACGGTTCGAAAACCATGGTCTCTGAGCTTCTACTTCTTCTAGACTCTGTGTGTTTGGATCATCTCAAACTTGATAAAAGAATCTGGACTATGACCTCTAATGGTTCCCTCACTTGTGCTTCTTTTTTCAAATCCCTTTGGTCTTCTTCTTCCTTTGGGGTTTTCCCTGTCAAAGAGTTTTGCCCAAGGTCTATACCTCCTAAAGTTGCTATCTTTTGTTGGGAAGTTATTAGTACCGCAGTGGTACTATTGTACTTTCTACATTTTTTATTTTGTTTTATGTCTCCCTAGCATAAATACAAAAAGCTGGCACTGCCAGCAACACCTTTGACTCTCAATCTCTCTTCTCTCCTCTCTTCTCTCTCTTCCCTCTTCCTTTCTTCTTCTCTTCTGGATAACATGGTATCAGAGCGGGACTATTAGATCTGAAAGGAGAGATCGAGCAAGCTTATTTTCTGTCTTCTCTCTTCGCCAACTACTGTTTGGTTTATTGAAGATCCAAAATACTGCATCGGACTGAAGTACCTTCTCTCCCTTCCTCCTTTTTCTTTTTTTTTTTTTTCTGGTCGTGTACCAGGACAGAACCTGTAGTAGGTTCACTTGTTTGATGTGAGGTGATCAGAACCTCTTTCTTTCCTTTTTTGTGGGATCGACCGATCCCTGTGATGACCTTTATATGCTGCGACAACAGCCTTATGATAGATTTGTAGGTCAGGGAATGACCTGTATATGGTACCACCGCAGCCATATCTGATTTGTAGGTCAAGAGATGACCTGTATGTGCTGCAACAGCAGCCATATCTGATTTATTGCAGGCCAGTGATGACCTGTTAGTGCTGTAACAGTAACTGTTTTTCTTTTGTGATTGAAGAGCTGAGTTTTGAAAAAGAAAAGGAGGGGGGTGATTGTCTCTAGTCTCCTAGCGCAAAGAGTTTTTTTTTTTTGGGGTGTTAGACTGCTCTTTTTTAAGGTTTTTTGTGCCTACTTTGAGTGTGACCTGAAGCTGTGATCATGAGTGGTGAAGATTCTGCCACATCTGGTGTTTCCTCAATGTAGAATGGAATGAGTGGGGGTATGTATTTATCCTTCCCTATGGCTGTCATACCCTTGGATGGCTTAAATTATTTAGAATGGTCGAAAGGGATCAAGTTATACATTACTGCAAGGGGAAATATAGGATATATAAATGGGAGAATTAAATAACCTACTTTTGGGAGTGCTGA